TTATTATATATATACTTATATATAAAAACTGTCAGAGCGCCAATCTTTGTGACAGGAGGCAGGAAACGGGAGAGGCATCTAGTAGAGTACACCAAGGATGCAGGGCTTGGTGTGTGTCTTCAGCCTCAGGAGCATGGATTCAAACTATATGGAGGGGCCCTGTCAGCACAGCTACTTAAGGTGGTGCAAGGGGCAGGGTTTGCAGTGGTAGTACTGCCTGCTCAGAGACAGGAACTCTTTCAAAAACAAGTGTTCGTCATGGAGTCTATTGATCTGGTCTTCCTTAGGATAAGTGGTACATGCCATATCCAACTGGTGTGGCATAGAGTCCGACGGGTGGGATGGGGAGCACAGGTCTATGGAAAGGGTAGGATGCTCCATAGAGGGATGCCGCTTGCAAGGGTCAGTTGATAGGGAAAGCGAGGCTGAAGCCGGAGGGCAGCATGGGTTTTGCAGTCATTTTCAGCTTCTCCAGTTCTGCTTCCTGCAGCCTTTTTGCTTTGGCCCTCCGGTTCTGGAACCAGATTTTGACCTGGGTTTCTGTGAGGTTGAGAGAGCTGGAGAACTCAGCGCGTTCTGCAATGGAGAGGTACTGTTTCTGCCGGAACTTGCGCTCCAGAGCCAGGAGCTGCGATGTGGTGTAGGGTGTCCGAGGCTTCCGATTGGTCTTGTGCTTTCGCAGGGTGCAGGTGGTTGGGCTCATGTGTCTGGGCGGCGGCGAGTATCTGCCAGGGTCCTGCATCCACGTCGCTCCGGACTTGACCGAGGCGGTCTCGAAGGGCTTGACCAGCGCCCCGGGGCTGTGCGCTTCCCTGGCGCCGCCGTGCACGGGTAACAGCAGCGGCCGCACGGTGGCCGAGGAGGAGACGCCTTCGGCGGGCCGCGGGGACGCCTCCTTGGGCGGCTTCTTGTCGGACATGAGCGCCTCCACGCTGAAGGGCAGGCTGGAGACCTTGATGCGGCGCTCCTTGGCGTCCCCAGGCCCGGGGCCAGGCCCAGCCACTACCGCTGGGCACTCCTCATCGGATGAAAACAGGTCGTTGCCTTTGAACGGAGAAGTCATGATTTCTCTACTCCACGGAGCTCGGGACAGCGACTCTTATCTTCTTATTATTAATTTCTAATATTGTAGCATTATGGTCTGAAAAGTTCGTTTGTATTATTTCTATGTTTTAAAATTTATTGATACATCCCTTGTGACCTAGAATGTGATCTATTCTGGAGAACGTCCCATGCACACTGGAGAAGAAGGTATACTGTGTTGTTTTGGGGGGTTTTTTTAGAGGGGTGCAGTAGCGTATGAGGTCAAGTTTGTTTATTGCGTGGTTTAATTCTTCAGTATCTTTGATGAGTTTCTTTCTGATAGTTCTATCTTTTACAGAGAGGGGTGTATTGAAGTCTCCAAGTACTATAGTAGTGTTGCCTACTTCCTTCTTCATATTTGTTAATGCCCTCTTGTTCTATTAACCTTTTCAGCATTATGTAGTGACCTTCCTTGTCCTTTGTGATGGTTTTTACATTGATATTTATTTTATCAAAGATTAATATAGCTGTTTTTGTTGTTGTTATGTATGATTTACTATGCTGGGGATGAAAAGTGAGAAAAAACGGGGTTGGTTTCATAATTTAAAAAATCATTTATATATCTATCCTGAAATACAATGTGGTGAGCAACAGGCTAATATCCATACGCATACAAGGAAGTCCAGTGAATACCACTATCATTCAAATATATGCACCAACAACTAGAGCCAAAGAAGAGGAAATAGAAGATTTTTACCAACTTTTGCAGTCAGAAATTGATCAAACATGCAATCAAGATGCATTAACAACATTGGGTGACTGGAATGCAATAATTGGGAACAGGGAAGAAGGATCAGTAGCTGGAAAACATGGCCTCAGTGAGAGAAATGAGGCTGCAGATAGAATGGTAGAGTTCTGCACATTAAATGATTTATTCATTGCAAATACCTTTTAGAAGAAACATAAATACAGGCTATACACATGGATTTCACATGATGGTATGCATAGGAATCAAATCGATTACATTTGTGGAAAAATTCGCTGGAGAAGCTCAGTATCAGCTGTGAAAACCAGGCCAGGTGCTGACTGTGGGACAGACCACCAACTACTCATATGCAAATTCAAGCTAAAGCTGAGGAAAATTAAGTCAAGTCTACGGGAACCAAGATTTGACCTTAAGTCTGTCCCACTAGATTTTCAAAACCATCTCAGGAACAGGTTTGAGGCCTTGAGCACCAATGAGGGTAGACCAAATGAGTTCTAGGAGGATATCAAGAAAATCGTCCATGAAGAATGTAAAAGACCATTACAAAGGCTAAAGAAGAAGAAAAGACCAAGATGGACATCAGATGAGACTCTGAGTATTGCATTAGAGCACCGAGAAGTCAAAGCAAAAGGAAGAAATCAAAGAACTGAATAGAAAATTTCAAAAGGCAGCTTGGAACGACAAAGCAAGATACTATGATGAAATGTTCGGAGAACTGGAGTCAGAAAATCAAAAGGGCAGGATTCGTTTAGTGTTTCTTAAGCTGAAGGAGTTGAAAAACAAACTCAAGCCATGGGTGGCAATAATTAACGATATTTTGGGTAGAATGTTGAATGATCCAGGAAGTATCAAAGAAGATGGAAGGAGTACACAGAGTCACTGTATCAGAAGGAATTGGCTGACACAGAGGAATTTTATGAAATAACGTATGAGCAAGAGCCTATGGTGATGAAGGAGGAAGTTCAAGTTGCTATGAAGGAATCGCCAAAAAACAAGGCTCCAGGAGTTGACTGCATGACAATTGATTTATTTCAACAAACAGACGTTGCCCTGGATGTGCTCACTAAGTTGTGCCAGGAAATCTGGAGGACAGCCAACTGACAGGAAAAGATCGATATTTGTTCCCATTTCAAAGAAAGGTGGCCCAACAGAGTGTGGAAATTATCGAACAAGATCATTGATATCACATGCAAGCAAGATTCTGCTGAAAATTATCCAAAGACGTTTAGAACAATATGTCAACAGAGAACTGCCAGATGTGCAGGCTGGATTTAGAAGAGGTCACAGAACTAGGGCTATTATAGCTAATGTAAGATGGATCTTGGCAGAAAGCAGAGAATACCAGAAAAATGTCCATCTGTGCTTCATTGACTACGCAAAGGCTTTGACTGTGTGGATCACAACAAGCTATGGCTGACTGGGAATCCCAGAACATTTGATTGTGCTAATGCAAAACCTATACTTAGACCAAGAGGCAGTCATCAGAACAGAGCAGGGAGACACTGGATGGTTCAAAATCAAGAA